ATGAAAGTGAATTCATTTAATAAAAGAAGTAATCAGAGGTCCGCATTTTATTTGTCTAAACTTAAAACAAAAATCACTTACTCTTTCTACTTTATTTGTCACATTTTTCTTTTTAATTTGTTCAGAAAAGAATAATATCTGTATTTTTCTTTCTAGAAAATATTTAGTTTTAGCATCTCATGAATTTTACTTTTGTTGAGGAATGTGGGTCCCACATATTTAAAGAGTAGAGTTAGTTAGTGGTTAGTTATAACTAACTAGTGGATTAATACAAGTAGTTAGCAGTTAAATCCTATAAGTAGTAATAGTGCTCTGTAAATACATAGATTGTACATTTTCAATATTCAAAAATGGAGTAATGTTCTTCTCCTCCACCTCTATCTTCTCCCTAACTCCTTTGTATACCGCAATAGCTAGAGCTCTCTTAACATGGAAGAGCAAGGTTAATCGAGTGATGATAGCTCAGCTGTGACGGAATTCCTTAATTTCAGTCTCAATCTCTTGCTTTATATATGCAACTGGATGTTTTGATTTTCGTCCTACTTTCACCTACTCGAAAGCTAGGGTTTGAAATTTGTGTGCGATTTGCTAGATTGAATTGATATTGGAGGAAATCAATCTGTGCATGTGCTTATAGATTCATCTCTGTTCTTCAATTCAAAACTCTCGAAGTTCCTCAATTCATAACCATGTCGGTTCTTGAAGATGTCACTGATCCTCAGCTCGCAACGATGAATGCAACTCAATTAGTAGATCAGGTGGATCATCATCATCCTTTGTACATTCATCCATCTGATACGCAAGGTTTGGTCCTTATTTCTATTCAATTGCAAAGATATGAAAGTTACTCGATATGGAGCAGGTCATTGAAAATCGTATTACATGGCAAAAATAAGTTAGGATTTGTTCTAGGCACCTGCTAAAAGAACAACTATGAAGTCAGCCTTCATGAACTATGGGATAGATATAATGCGATAGTGCTTGTGTAGATTATGAATACTGTGTCTCCTGATCTGCTTAGTACTGTAATCTATGCATTAGATGCCTATATTGTTTGGGAAGATCTTAGGGAGAGATTTGACAAAGTTAATGCTTCTAGGTCATCCTACCTGCATAAAGAAATAACTATATTAACACAAGAAGTATCCTCTGTATCTGTTTACTTTTCTCGACTAAGAGCACTGTGGGATGAGTATGAAACATTGACTCCTCCTCCTACTTGTGGTTGTCCTGAATCTAAGAAACATGTTGAGTACTATCAACTTCAAAAACTTTATCAATTTCTTACTGGGTTTAATGACTCATATGAGAATGCTAAGAATCAGGTGTTGATGACTAGGTCTCTGCCTAATTTGAATCAAGCTTATGCTATAATCGTTAATGTTGAAATCCAAAGGATCAATGGAAAGAGTGTGTATGGTTCTAATGATGTCAATGAAGCTGCAACTATGATGAGTAATAGGCACTAAAACAACAATGGAGGTCCTACGAATACTAGATACATTGGAGGTTACAAAGCTAAAAACTCATTCAACAAGTCACCCGTTTATTGTGAGTATTGCAGGTGCAAAGGACATACCAGGGTGAATTACTTCAATCTACATGGATATCCAACTGACTTCAAAACCAAGAAGAGAGGAGGAAACTTCACTGCTCAGTCCAATAATGTAAGCAATTATGGTACAATCTTCAGAAACTTAAAATAATGCCTTGGGAAGCTCTACTATTAGTTCTCCAGCTCAGTTCTTTACTTCAGAACAGTACCAGCATATGTTGCAGATGTTGAACAAAGGCAAGGATACTGAACTTGTAGCTAATTTAGAAACTACATGAACAACAGGTAACATATATGCCTTTATGTCCTCCTTGGTAAATCATAAGTGGATAATAGATACAGGAGCTTCTAACCACATGGTACATAGTTTAAATTTATTGGATTCCTATAAAGAATTATCAGAAACAGATAAAAATAAAGTACATCTCCCTACTGGTGAGAAGGTTGTTATTACACACACTGGGATTTGTTCCGTTTATAGAGATAAGAAGGTTCAGAACATATTGCATATACTAGAATTCAAGTATAATCTACTCTCAATCTCTAAGATCACAAAATAACTAAAGTGTATGGTAGCATTCTTCCCTGATTTTTGTGTCTTTCAGGAACCCTTCAGTGGGAAGGTCCTGAGGATTGGTAAAGAAGAACTTGACCTCTACATTCTCAAGACTGAAGACAGTCAATTGTCTGATAAACATTTACTACCAACTGTAAATACCATTGTTAGTAGTACAAATAAGTGTGTAAGTTGACTAGTGAAAGCTAAAGGTGTAACGGGCCGGGTTGACCCGTAACCGGCCCGGCCCAGACCGGTTAAAACCGGAACCGGACCGGCCCGGTACATAGGGGGTCGGGTGGGGCTGGGTAGGAGGGCTAGAGGGGGTTGGTCCGTTTAAATTTTGGTAACGGTTAACCGAACCGGTCAAACCCGGTCCACGTGAACAGTATCGTGTACCGGTTAAACTGGCCCGGCCCGGCACGGTACAATATTTTTTTTTGTTTTTTTTAATTCTTTGAATTAAGTGGGGCCCACTAACCGTTGGCAATGGTAAGACCTGGCAGGGATCCGTTGCCCAACGGGTTAATTGCATTAATAACCTCTTTTTTCTTTAAAATTTAACCTTTTTTCAATTTACAAAATTAACCTTCTCTAAAACTATAAATAAACCCTCTCTTCTTCATTTCTTCACTCAACCCTCATTTCTCAATCTCAATTTCTCTCATTCTCTAATTTTCAAGATTTTAAGTCTCAATCTCAAATTCTCAATTCTCAATTCTCAAATCTCAATTCAATTTAAATCATGCCTCGTACTTCTAGAGTGCGCTCATATATTTGGCAACACTTTGAGGTGGTAGAAGAAAATGAAGAAGGTCAGAAAGTAAAGTGCAAGAACTGTGGTCAAATCTTGAATTTTCGTTCAGAGTCTGGCACAGGCAGTTTAAGGAGGCATATCAAGTATTGTCTTGAGCGTCCTTCAGAAATTCGTATTTAAGATTTTAAGACAATTTGTGTTATNAAGTATTGTCTTGAGCGTCCTCCGGAAATTCGTATTTAAGATTTTAAGACAATTTGTGTTATTTTAAAATTATTAGACGTATTTATGCTTAATGTTTTAGTTTGTTAGATTAATTTGAAGTATTGTTAATTTATTATGCAAGAAAATTTAGTTTTACTATATTTTGTTAATTTACTTTTTAAATGCAAACTTTAATTTTGAATTTTGAAATAAATGTAGCACTTGCAATTTATATTAATACTTTTGTATTAATATAACTTGTAATCTTTAAATTAATACAAAGTATTAATATAACTTACAATAGTTATACAAAAAAAATAAAAAATACACTAAACCCGGCCCGGCCCGACCCCCTCAACTCGTAACCCGTACGGTTCAATTTTTACCCGGATGAACCCGAACCCGTTAAACCCGTTAAGCCCCAACCCGTAACCGGCCCGGACTGTAACCCGTACGGGTCCAAAAAATAGCAACCCGGCCCGGCCCACCCGTTTAACACCCTTAGTGAAAGCAGCACACAATCTTGAAATAAGTTTGATTTGTGGCATAAAAGATTAGGACATACTCCTCTAAAGGTAGTACAGAAAATACATAGCTTAAGTGATGTGCATATGACTGGGGATCACTGTACTGTATGTCCCATTGCAAAGCAGTCCAGACTTCCTTTTAATCTTAGCTTTTCATGCTTTACTTCTGTCTTTGATCTTGTGCATGTAGATGTTTGGGGTCCATATAGGATCCCTACCCATGATAACAAAAGATATTTTTTGACCTTAGTTGATGATTACTCAAAGTACATTTGGATCTTTCTTCTAACCACTAAAGCTGATACTATTGTGGCATTGAAAAATTTCCTGGCAATGGTTACAAATCAGTTTAGGACCTCTGTAAATGTCTTAGAATAGATACTGGCACTGAATTTATGAATGATCAAGTGACCTCCTTATTGCAAAATCTTGGAATTCTTCATCAAAGTTCCTATGTGTACACTCCTCAACAGAATGGAGCTGTTGAGAGAATGCACATATCAATTCTTGATATGGCTAGATCACTGAGATTTCAGGCTTATATACCTCTGTATTTCTGAGAAGAATGTGTGTCCACTATAGTATACCTAATGAATAGGCTAACTACTGCTCTTCTTCAGGGAAAGACACCCTTTGAGGCGCTATATCAGAAGGTTCCATCTATTCAGCATCTTAGAGTATTTGGGAGCTTATATTATGCCACTAAAGTACAGAAGGTAGACAAGTTTAGTTCTAAAGCAGTCCCAGCAGTTTTCATAGGGTATTCCTACTCTCAAAAGGGCTATGTGTTATATGACCTCCACTCCAAAAGTTTATTTGTGAGCAGAGATATTGTGTTCAAGGAAGATATCTTTCCTTTTAAGAATATAAGGTCTGGTGTTCATTATCTATTTCATGTTCTCGAGTTCACAAACTCCTCTCCCACCTATAAGAATGTTCAATAATTATCTTCTAGCACGATCTCTCCTATCACTCAGTCTCCTCCTCCTACACCTGTTAGTGAAGAGCCCTCAACATCTATGCCTACAAAGATTCCTGCTGATCATTCAACTCCCCCTGCAGCACTTAGGAGATCCTCAAGACCTTTAGAAACCTCCTGTGTGACTCAGTGATTATGTGGTTCAATCTCAGAAGGCAAATTACTCATATCCAATCCCACAATATGTGGCTTATGATCAACTCTCTCATGCTTATCAGGTCTCTTTAGCTGCTTATTTTGCCATTGCTAAACCTAATTCCTTCAGTGAAGCTAGTGCTGATCCTAAGTGGGTAGAAGTTATGTAAATTGAGATCTCAGCTTTGGAAGAAAATAACACATGGTCTATAGTAGACCTGCCACCAGAAAAAGTTCCTATTGGGTGTAAATGAATTTTCAAAGTCAAGTATAAATCCAATAGTGAGATGGAGAGATATAAGACCAGATTAGTAGCCCAATGCTACAACCAACAAGAAGGCCTAGACTACATAGAAACATTCTCACCAGTAGCCAAAATGGTTACTGTGAGAGTTGTAGTTGCCTTAGCTGCTGCTTCCAGTTAGTATGTATTCCAGATAGATGTGCATAATGCATTCTTATAGGGTGACTTGGTAGAGGAAGTTTACATGCACATTCCAGATGGCTTATCAAGCCAAGGGGGAGTATCAGAAAGTGTGCAAATTACACAAGTCCTTATATGGGCTGAAGCAAGCACCTAGACAATGGAATCTCAAACTGACTGAAGCACTCCTAGATATGAAGTTTGTGCAAAATCATTATGATTACTCTCTCTTTACTAAAAACAGGAACATAACTGGTGATAGTACTAGTATATGTAGATGACTTGCTGATCATAGGCAGCAATCTACACATTATTAGACAAGCCAGAAAAGAATTATAGGAAAGGTTCAGGATGAAGGATTAGGGAGAATTGAAATATTTTCTTGGAATTTAATTCTCAAGGTCTCAAAAAGGTATCTTGATGTGTCAGAGAAAGTATGCATTGGAACATATTTCTGAACTTGGTCTAGCAGGTGAAAAACCAGTCTGTACACCCCTTGAGTTCAATCATAAACTCACTTTTGTTGATTTTGATCAGGAAGTAAACAAGAATGCATATGCAGATATATTAGTTGAAGATAAAGGCATCTATCAGATATTGATAGGTAGATTATTGTACCTAACTATGACAAGGCCGGATATAACTTTTGTAGTACAACTGCTCAGTCAATATATGCATACACCCAAAGTCTCTCATATGGAAGCTGCAAAGAGAGTGATAAGGTACATTAAGTCTACACCAGAACTTGGACTTTTTATGCCTACTGGTAGCTACAATCAACTTGTAGCATATTGTGATTCTGAATGGGTAGCATATGTGGAGTCTAGAAGATCAGTTTCTGGATATGTGGTAAAGTTTGGTGGTGCACTAATTTCCTGGAAATCAAAAAACTAAGGAACAGTGTCTTGAAGCTCAGCTAAAGCGAAATTTCGAAGTATGGCAACCACAGTTGCTGAGATTGCATGGCTAGTTGGACTATTCAGAGAACTGGGTGTGGATATCAAATTATCTATGTCATTGCACTGTGATAGCAAATTTGCTATTCAAATTACTATATATTTCATCTTTCACGAGAGGACTAAGCATATAGATATTGACTGTCGTTTTGTAAGGGAGAAACTGGTGCAAGGACTAATTCAAACGCAGGATGTTGGGACAACAGAACAAATTGCAGATTTACTAAGGCATTGTGCAAACCACAACATGAGACTTACTGAGCAAGCTGAGAATGAAGAATGTATTTCATCCCTCAGCCTGAGGGGGAGTGTTAAGGAATGTGTGTCCCACATATTTAAAGTGTAGAGTTAGTTAGTGGTTAGTTATAACTAATTAGTAGACTAATACAAGTAGTTAGCAATTAAATCGTACAAGTAGTAGTAGTGCTCTGTAAATACTCCCTCCGTTTCAATTTATATGAACCTGTTTGACTGGACACGGAGTTTAAGAAAAAATAAAGATTTTTGGAATTTGTGGTCCTAAACAAGTCAAAAAGGGGCCCAGAGTATTTGTGTGCTTATAAAAGCTTCTCATTAAGGGTAGAATTGTAAGTTTAAGCTAAATTGTTAACAAATTTAGAAAGGGGTCATTCTTTTGGAACAGACCAAAAAGGAAATAGGTTCACATAAATTAAAAAATTAAAAACATATTTAAAAAGTATTTTAAGTGAAATAATAGTTTTCATCCCATTTTTAAAACTTTTTTCTTAATTGCGTAGGGGCACATTCAATAATTAAAAAGATGAAATTTTTCCCGTGACTTATTAGCAAGTCTTGTGATTCTAGTCTTTCCTCGTCTGTTTCTTGATTTCCCACTCGTACTGTTACGCAGCGCCTTCCTGAGATAGCTTTCATTAACGCAATCAAGCTTTCTTTCATTCTCAATTCTCATTCATGTTCCCTCAATTGCTCTTGGCATTGGTTTTCCCGTACGGCACTGACAATCTAGTCTAGCGTACGGAGGGGACCTCAGTTGGCGGACAGCAACTGCACTGACATCAGTTGCTTAGCCTTACGTCGTNCTCTTGACATTGGTTTTCCCGTACGGCACTGACAATCTAGTCTAGCGTACGGAGGGGACCTCAGTTGGCGGACAGCAACTGCACTGACATCAGTTGCTTAGCCTTACGTCGCCCTTCCAAGGAATCTCAGGAAGGCGCCGCGTAACAGTTGGTATCAGAGCCTAGGCTCGACATCGGACAAGGAAACGCATTGCCATTACCATCATTTCTGACCATGGTGAATCATGGGGACCGCATTGCGGCCCTTGAACAGACGGTTGACGGATTACTACCCATCATGGATATGGTGCCTGAACTAAGAACCAGCCTAGGGCAAAGGTTGGACGACCTGGACCACAGGGTACTCCAAGCCGAAGTTGACATAGAAAACATCAGTCGTGACTCCGAGGGAGACCGGCAAACGGCAGCCACAGAGGCAGCCGAAATTTTTGGCAAATTCGAGGGACTCCAACAGGAGCGTGCCGAGGATTTAGCTTACAGGGCACAAGAGGCAGACAGGGTGACTGCCATGCAACAAACTATTGACGACTTGACAGACAAGCTCAATGTCGTCAATGCTACTTTACAGGGCCTGCTGCGAGGCGGTGGAAACCAGGGGGATCAAACAATCAAACTTTCTAGCAAGCAAACAATTCTCTGTACTGGTGTCTCTCCTCCTCGACACCGCGTTGCCTTTCTGTAATAGCTTTCGTTAATGCAATCAAGCTTTCTTTCATTCTCAATTCTCATTCCTGTTCTCTCAATTGCTCTCGGCATTGGTTTTCCCGTATGGCACTGACAATCTAGTCTAGCGTACGGAGGGGACCTCAGTTGGCAGACAACAACTGCACTGACATCAGTTGCTTAGCCTTACGTCGCCCTTCCAAGGAATCTCAGGAAGGCACCGCGTAACAGTACTCGTGTTAAAGGAAAGATTTTTCGCCAAGCGAAAACGTAGAATACTGAAACCGCTTGACACGTTCACATACTAAGAAACTAGAATATTCCCCGTATTTTTAGTAGCTTATAACCATAATCTGGTATATTAACACTTCCCAAAATCCCATATATATAGGTGAGGGAGGGATGACAAAAGAAGATGGTACTGTCACTGTGTTAAACAGAGAGTTCAAGCCGAGGTCAAAAATGGGTGTGTCAAGAACAAGTTTTCTTGGGTGTTTTATTCTTGCAGTTTTGGGTTTGATTATCAATGCATCCATATTATGCAGAGGTGGAATTACAAGCAGTTTTGTTAGGAAAGTTGAGAAGACCATTGATATGCCTATGGACAGTGATGTCTTCAGTGTGCCTCCTGGCTATAATGCACCTCAACAGGTTATTTCAATCTCTTTGCGTTTTTCATGTCTAGTTCTCACTCAGTGCTTTTGATGAATACTTTCTCTGTTTTCCTTTGTCGTACATGGAAGGTTTGTAGAGGCGGATCTATAATTTTACAATAAGTGAATATAATTGCATCCTCTCATCATTATATTCAATGGCTACGAACTTGGTGCGAGTGTGTGTGTGTGTGTGTTTAGTCGAAGGCAGGCTTTCGCACTCATTTCCGGCAAGGACAAGCTGCAATACCATTTTCTAGTATATTTTCTGGTGTTGCTTATTAATGCAATCTTGTTATACCTATTGAAAATTGATTTTGTTGCGATTTTCTTGGGATAAGGTTCACATAACACAAGGAGATCATGTTGGGAAGGCAATGATTGTCTCATGGGTGACAATGGATGAACCTGGTTCGAGTACAGTTTTATACTGGAGTAACAACAGCAAGCAAAAGAATAAGGCCAAGGGAACTGTTACTACATACAGATTCTACAATTATACTTCTGGTTACATCCACCACTGCATTATTAAGCATTTGAAGGTGAATCAAACCTTCTTTCTTTCTTCAAATTTGGGAATAATTGTGGTTTCTACATTTAGTTATTCTCCATTGGCGCATCGTGCATTGTTATATAATATACGTCATATCTACCTTTTGTAACGGTATAAACACTACATTTTGCAGTTCAATACCAAATATTACTATGAGGTGGGGATCAGTCATAACCCAAGAACCTTCTGGTTTGTGACTCCTCCACAAGTTGGCCCTGATGTTCCTTATACTTTTGGACTTATAGGTAACCATTTCAACCAAACTATTGCTGTACGATTTAATTCTTTTTGAGCTAATTATGTTGGCACTGCAATTTCGGCTTCTTTTATTCCTTCAGTGGAGATTTTGAGGTTCACTGTGCTTTCTCAAAGGTACTAAAATGAGGGAGAAGCATATAGTACGATCTAGGATTGAGTGATAGTATAAATTAAGTTTAGTTCATCGTTAACCACAATAAACGAACTTTGTTACATGAGTATTATTCACAAAATAATACTGTTACATTAGTATCGACAAAAAAGAGGTTCGTCGATATTGTTGCTACCATTTCTGTAGTTTTTCCCAATCTAAGCTGCATTTATCTTACAGGGGATCTTGGTCAGAGTTTTGATTCAAATAGGACACTCACACATTATGAATTAAATCCAATCAAGGGGCAGACAGTGTTGTTTGTTGGCGATTTATCTTATGCAGATAACTATCCTAATCATGACAACACAAGATGGGATACATGGGGAAGGTTTGTAGAAAGAAGTGTTGCTTATCAACCTTGGATCTGGACAACAGGGAATCATGAGATAGATTTTGCTCCTGAAATTGTAAGTCATGCAAATTCAATTTTCTTTAACTTGAAGTTGACTTCAGGTGCTTTTATCATTCTCCAGCCTTTGGTTTTCGGCATGCTGTAGTTTAAAGGAAATACACAACAATTGTTAGTACCATGCATTCTACATTCTTCACAAAATCACTAGGTTGTCTTAACCAGAGTTAGCTCTTCTACTTCTAGTTTGAGTAGATTCGAGGTATGTCCCACCAGCTTCATCTTGCACGCTCAACAACGATAAAATATTTAGGACAGATGACAGGAAAAAAAAAAGCAGTCATGCTTTCAAGGGAACTGAATATGGTGAACTAGTTAATAAAGTGAAATCAACTGAAAATATAGTGTTGTTCTGCCACTGTTTTAAACCGTACTCTTGGACGTTTTACCTTTATGATTTTACAGGGATATTCTAACAAACATGTTGGTGACTTTTCTGCAGGGGGAAACAAAACCATTTAAGCCCTATACTCATCGATATCGTGTCCCTTATAAATCATCAAACAGTACAGCTCCCTTTTGGTATTCAATCAAGAGAGCATCAGCATACATCATAGTTTTGTCCTCATATTCAGCTTATGGTAAGAGTATTCACATTTCACAGGTTATTGTCGTACATGCTTATGAGCAGTACAATGTCTGTTTACTTTGTCTATTTAAGATTCTATGGCTGATTCTGGTGTTGCATTTAGGACATAAATTGTGTCCTTCAGTGATGAGTCTCTTGGTCCCTTTTCCTTCTTAGTACAGAACTACAGACGTCGTTATAATTGGCCAGAAAATATATTCAAGGTCTTGTGCCTTGTCAGTTCTTGAATAATTGTTCTTCGAATATGATTCCAGGAAGTAGGTCTTTTATAAGTTCCTTTCCTTTTAATAGCAGAAACAATTAGATATTCAAAAGTGTGGATCATGGATTTTCCAATTCTTTTATATGAAGTTTTTGTCGTCTTCTCAATTATAGGCATGTACACTCCACAATATCAATGGCTTTATGAAGAGCTACCGAAAGTTAACAGGTGCCAGACACCATGGCTGATTGTTCTATTGCATTCGCCGTGGTATAACAGCTACAACTATCACTTTATGGAAGGGGAGACCATGAGAGTAATGTATGAGCCATGGTTTGTGCAGTACAAAGTTGATGTTGTTTTTGCAGGTCATGTTCATGCTTATGAGCGATCGGT